AAATAAAAAAATCTTGAAAGGGTCATTTAAATAAATTATGTATTGACCGTCCCTTTTTAAATAAAGGGCCCCTTTTTCAAGAATTTTTTACAGAAATAAAAATAATAAAAATTAACTAGACAAAAACAAAACAAAACAAAAAAATGTAGACAAAAGTAAAAAGGGTGTATTTTGAGAATACGGTTTAAAGCATAAAACGTATTCTCGGAATACGTTTTACAGTAAAATCAGCATAAAACGAATTCACATAATACGTTTTAAAAAAAATTAATAAATAAAACGTATTATCAAAATACGTTTTACAAATAATTAATAACTAAAATATAATTAAAAACTAAAACGTATTATCAAAATACGTTTTAATTCTTAATTATTTGTAAAACGTATTTGGGTAATACGTTTTATAAATAATAAATAAATAAAACGTGTTATGAAAATACGTTTAATATTTTAAAATTAATAAAAAAAATTAATATGTAGTATGTATTTTGTATTTTGGGCTCGTTTGGACTCGTCTGAACTCGGAATTGAGTTCCGTTTTTTCCTATACATAGCTAACGAACCCCTCTATTCAATGATGCATGCATGACCAAATTATTCTTTAAATCATATTCTACAAAGCTCTTGACCTACACATTAAACGTGGTTCGCACGACTTTGCGGTTTGGGCCCGTTCGAACTCGTCCAAGCTCGAAATTGATTTCCACTTCTTCCTATATGTCGCCAACGAATCCATCTACGCAACCATGTTTGCCCCATCAATTTTCGGGCTAAATCTATTTCTTACGGGATAAATAATTAACAATGGAAGAAGAATGGGTGATTTGTTAATTATTTAGCCCGTAAGGAATAGATTTAGCCCGAAAATTGATCAGGAAAACATGGTTGTGTAGATGGGTTCATTGGCGACATATAGGAAGAAGCGGAAATCAATTTTGAGCTTGGACAAGTCCGAACGGGCCCAAACTGCAAAGTCGCGCGAACCACGTTTAATGTGTAGGTCAAGAGCTTTGAAAAATATGATTTCAAGAAGAATTTGGTCATGCATGCATCATTAAATAGAGGGGTTCGTTAGATACGTATAGGAAAAAACAGGACTCAATTCCGAGTTCAGATGAGTCCAAACGAGCCCAAAACACAAAATACATACTACATATTAATTTTTTTTCATTAATTTTAAAATATAAAACGTATTTTCAAAATACGTTTATTTATTTATTATTTATAAAACGTATTATCTAAATACGTTTTATATATTTTTTTAATTTTCTAAAAAAATAATTTTAAAACGTATTAATAAAATATGTTTTTTAAAAAAATTAAATAAAAAAACGTATTTTAAAAATACGTATGTTTTATTTTTATCCATAAATTTTGTTTTTTTTTTGTTTTTTTTTTTTATTTTTTATTTTTGTCCAGTTATTTTTTTTATTTTTTATTTATATAAATTACCCCCTTTTTCAATCTAGTTTCGCAAAAAATTTCACATTCCCCCCACCTGTTTTGAATAACTCAACAAACGTGTAGATGCCCTACCACTGTTTGCCCAAGTTCTTGAACATACTCAGGAAGAGCCGGAACCTAATCGGCGTTGCTACCCTCTCCACCGCAGCCACCTCCACCTTCCCTCCCAAACTCTCCGCCATGGAAAACGATCACCAGATCCTGAGAACCCGCCTCTGCATCGTTGGAAGCGGGCCCGCCGCACACACAGCCGCAATTTACGCCGCCCGTGCAGAACTCAAACCCCTTCTGTTCGAAGGTTGGATGGCCAACGACATTGCCCCCGGCGGGCAGCTCACCACCACCTCGGAAGTCGAGAATTTTCCAGGTTTCCCTGAAGGAATTGGGGGAATCGAGCTCATGGATAAGTGCCGCGCCCAGTCTGTTCGCTTTGGCACCCAAATATTCACGGAAACTGTCTCTAGAGTCGATTTCTCAGGGTTTCCTTTCAAAATCTTTAGTGACTCGAAAACCGTTGTGGCAGATTCTGTAATCATAGCAACTGGAGCGGTAGCTAAGCGCCTCAGCTTCCCTGGTTCGGATACCTATTGGAACCGTGGCATATCAGCCTGTGCTGTGTGTGATGGAGCAGCACCTATCTTTCGCAACAAACCCCTTGCTGTCATAGGGGGTGGTGATTCGGCTATGGAAGAAGCTAATTTTTTGACCAAGTATGGTTCCAAAGTCTACATTATTCACAGGAGGGATGAATTTCGTGCCTCCAAGATAATGCAGAGCAGAGCACTGTCGAACCCGAAGATTGAGGTCTTATGGAATTCGGTGGTGGCTGAAGCGTATGGGGAGAGGACCTTGGGGGGATTGAAGGTGGAGAATGTGTCCACTGGGAAGATTTCCGATTTGAATGTTTCTGGTTTGTTTTTCGCTATTGGGCATGAGCCTGCAACCAAGTTTCTTGATGGGCAGCTGGAATTGGATTCTGATGGTTATGTGGTCACTAAGCCGGGAACCACATTGACCAGCGTCAAGGGTGTTTTCGCAGCTGGTGACGTGCAGGATAAGAAATACAGACAGGCTGTTACTGCTGCCGGCTCTGGTTAGTTTACTTAATAATCTGCCTTGTCAATGGTTTTTTTTTTTTTAATGTTTTTTCATAAGCTGATGTTGTGTTGTTAGGTGTAATTTAAGTTGTTGTGGTTTAGCAGTTTTTAACTGTCCGTTGTTTGTTATAACTTGGACCGTGCAAAATTAAGAAACCTGGTAATTTCGTAGCTGGTACAAAAGGAAAAAGCTACAATGGATTATGGAATAGATGCCTTGTATTTGGTACTGGGATTATTATTCTGAGGAAATCTTACTAATTGGAAAAGAATATTTTTCAAGGTATAGCTCCTGCTGATGTTTAATCATCCTATGTTAGCTTGTTGACCTAGGAAAACAGCTATTGATGATTAGAGCGAGTTATAATTTACTTTTTCTGTCTTGACAACAAAATTAGGAAGTAATTTAGTTCACGGACTGTCAACTTTATCTCATTGCAGGTTCCTCCTGGTAGAAAGTCTAGACATGTTATTTGTATGTTTTCTAAGGGAACAAGATATGTTCATATGAGACTTATCTTGTGGGAGCAGAGATGCAGTTGGGTTTGTTAGCCTGATTCTTTTGTGAAAATCAGAGAGATTGAATGTGTAGAGAAGAATACTGGAATGACTTCGAGAAACCATTAGGCATCACATTTTTACCTGCATTTGAATTCATCAGATTCTCTAGAGAAAATTTCTTGAGAAGGATTGAGGAGAATATAGGTTATGCTATCCCTATTTTGCATGAAATGAATACTAAAACCATCTTTAAAATGACACAAGGTTAATTTTGGTCCAAAAGTGGATTGCTAAGAGATATTCTTGAATAAACCGTTTCATCTTAAATAAACTTATATCTAGCTTTGGACTTCAATGAATTAAGTAATAATATATACATATAATATATTTATGCTCTTTAAGTATTACATTAAGTATAGCATGTACATCTGTAGAGCTGTAAAATTGATATATTGTATTTCATAGTAGGGATTACAAGGTGTATATTAATAGTCAAAGAAAATGTAAACAAGGAAAAAGAATTGGTTAATTAATGGGATCACTGTATCACCTAATTAAGATATCCTAATCTATACCATATTTAAAATAACACTAACCTCAAGCAGGAGCATATTCAAATATGCCTAGCTTGTTAGTTACAAATATTTTTCATTTCTTATCTTTGTGAATATGTCTCCCAGTTGATCTTCGGACCTAATCTATCCTGAAGAGATGAAATCTTCTTTGATGGTTCGCCGCTTCATTGTCACACCAAAGTTTTGTTGGAAGATTAAATTATAGTACAAGATCCTTTAATGATCGATGTATTCATACAATTTCACATATTGAATCGGTCATTAACCATTAACCTATACGGTGCCTCAACAATTGAACAAGAGACAACATTTTGCTTCTTGCTTCTCCATGAGACTAGATTACCTCCCACAAATATACAATTTTTGGAAGTTGATCTACTATCATCTTTGCAACCTGCGTCATCAACATCACAATATGCTTCGATGACCCCATTAGAAGTGGTCTACTGGCGGATCACCTTGTCGTCCATAAAAAAATCCATGTCCAAGAGCTCCTTTCCTATAGCTCCTTTCTTATAGTACATAATTTGTTCAAAAAGTGCCAATAACTAACTGTAAGAGAAGACATAAATCAATGCTACACCAAACAACAAAAGCTACGTGTTAGTTGTTACAACACGGTGAGATAATTTAGCTTCCAAGTCTTTGGTATCGTTCTGGATCATGAAATGACTCACCATCATCATTTCATAATTGCAAGTTGGGTGTCATTGGAGCGTTGCATGTCTTAGCCCAAAATTTTCCAATTTCTTTAAGCTTTAAAGGAAAATAACTCTCTTATTATCTCCACACCTATAAAATATTTCAAGTGTTCCAAGTCCTTTGTTTGAGATTTTTCATGGAGGAATGTTTAAAATTTGAAATCCCATCACTATCATTCTCCGTAATGACAGTTTCATCGATTTACACAAACAATAAAAATATCCCAAGATCCGATCGTCTATAGAATATCGAATGGTCGGATTTACATGTTACCAAACTGTATTTAAAAAAATTGGCTAAGTATGTCGAACCAAGCTTGGGGACTTTGCTTCATCCCATAGAGACTTATGAAGACGACATATTTTCCATACTTCCCCAAGCAACAAACCCGGGTGATTGCTCCATGTAAATCTATTCATGAAGAAAGCTATGAAGAAACACATTCTTAATGTCAGACTGGTGTAGAAACCAGCCAAAAGACGTGGCTAGATAGAAGAACTGGACGGAAATAAGTTTGGCCACAGGGAGAAAGTCTCAGAGTAATCAGTGCCACAAATTTGAGCATAGCCCTTAGCGACAATCGGGCTTTAAGGTGAGCCAAAGAACCATCAAGATTACCTTAACCTTAACCGTAAAGACCCACTTACTTCCAATTGCCTTCACTAAATCTACTAAAGACCGTGTGCCATTAATATAAACAAAGCATGAATTATATATACTTTAATTGAAAATTGAAAAAGAAATATCATCCCAAACAAGAATTCTTTCACTAAATAAATAGAGCCTTCAATTTTGACTAGCAGCCCTTTTTTATTAACCCACATAATTTATAATAAAATAAAATGAAGAAAAAAGAATGGAGAAAGAGGGACGAATTTTGGAAGAAAGAAAAGGCGAAAAGATAAAACCAAAAGGATTAACTGGAGGATTAATCTTTTAACTGTCATGATAGAGATTGATTTCTAGAAGTTAACCTCAAAGACCGAAGCAGCCGCGTGGTGTATCTTAGGGCGCAGGCTCATTCTCATTAATATGTACAGGTTGTTTTTATAACTTTTAGCTGCTGTAAGATTGTGAAGAGACCTGTTAGAAACATAAAGTATTTATTAGGTATAGTGTACATTATGCAACACTTACGATGACTAANTATGTTAGTCTGCTGTTTTGCAAACTAATCCTTGTTTTATCATTCAGGAAAAAAACTATCTGTAGTTTGTTAATAGACAATTTACTGATCTGATTTGTCTTTTATACCCTAGTTAAATCACTCAAGTCAGGAACCGTTTGTCTCCATAACCAAATAGCTTATTAAGGGGTAGGCGCCCTGGTTTATTTGAGCCTGTTCAACAGAACTTATGTGTAGGGGGAGTTGTATAGTAGACCCAAAAACCATTTTTTTTTTTTTTTGCTTATCAGCCCTAATTCTTTTATTCTTATGGAACATATTCTATCTGTAATATATTTATTTTTTGCATTGTAAAGCTGTCTCTTTAATAAAGAATTATTAATTTATATGATCAATGCACACCGGACGCTTTAGGGTCCTGTATTTATTGATTTTAACATTGCAAAAATCTGCATATCATAGAACACATCATTTGTATTTTCAATTATACTTCTTGACTTTCTTTTCAATTCTTAGCTTCTTAAACGCCGTTTATGTTTTTCTTCCATATGAGGACTTTCTGACACCATCAACATTCATCGTTTTCCTCCTAACCCCGTCTTTTAAGTTGCTATCTCATGATTTCTTTTGTAGATCTAATCTCTCTTCACCTGCAAGTTTATTTTTGCTTGCTTCACTAAAAAAGATATGCCCCCTAGAGTTAGTAATTTCTTACAGCTTTTTGTTACTAAGAAATAGACGGATGGATGTTAAGTAAGCACTGAAGTTTTGTTTCCTTTGGGGTTGAAAAAAGTGTGAATCAGGTAGGCCTACTTAAAGATGGTTTGTTTGATGAGTCTTTGTCAACTATTGTGCCTGTTGAGATGCAGATGAGGTTTTAGTAACCCCAGAAATTGAAGTGATACTGCATCTGGGATGCCCAACTAACTTGTGGATTATGTTGAAAGTTGAAGCAGTTATGGGTACAGGATAACTGTCCTTGGTGAACGAAAACGATACTCATTTCTAGTTGATCCTGTATGTTTGAAAATTCAATTTTGGATTCAGACTAATTATGAGTCTGGATTTTTTATATACATTGCCCTCAATGATTATCATGTGATTTTTGTCCTCATGGTTCAGTGCACCAAAAACTTGGGATCTTCACTTTATCTGGATATTTCTTATACGCCTAAAGTGTTGAATATCATAGAATAATTTTCTACGATCTGGAATGATGTTTTCTCGTTATAACCTATTGGCTCATACTTGTCCTTTTTTACATAAGTTATTTTTTCTCTGTATTCGTCGGTTTATCCAGAATGATCTGCACCCAACTTTTCTGGAACAAAACTTTTATCCCTAACAGTCTTCTCTTCATATTCAATATCTTCGTCGATAGCAGTAATCTCTAGTGGTAGTACCCAGACTTTCAAATTCCTCTATGTGGCCTGGAGGTACAATGATTGAGTATGTGAGGAACGCTTTTCTGGGAAAAGCAAGTGATAGAGGCAATCAAGGACCTACTTTTTGGTTTATACCCGAAGAAAGAAAGTAGAGGATGCAAACCTTGATTGATGGTTTTGCATGATTTTAGTTAATAATATAGAGGGATGGAATTATAGGGTATTCCTGATTCTAGCAGTTAAATTAGGGGAATAAAAATATGGAGTATTGTTTATAAATAATGGAGTTGGAGTTGGGAGAGGGCAGGGTGGAATTTACCGTTGTAATTGGCCTAGTGGCTGGTCAAGGTTCAACCATCGGGAACTATCTCGGGTCCTGTACCCCTTTTCTTCCTTCCATCCAATAAGACTCTGATCTTACTTGTATAATTGTTATTTCTTTTTGTGTTACCGCTCTTAACTCTATCAGAAAGAAAGAGTTTTTTAATCTTTTCAAAATAATCAATTTCAAGTCTTGAATTTCTCCTATCCTTATAAATTACCGAGGCCTCTCCGTTTAACCTGATTACTTCTCATTATCAAACATAAAGATAACTGACTGACTTTCTTAGAAGTCCGTCATCTGCCCGTTTGCGAAAACAAATCCTTAGCAGCAAATATCTTGAAATAGTCAAATAACTTAAAATTTACTGCACAAGTTTTACTCTTTATCATGGTCTTATTTACAGAAGTTTAAAATTGGACAACCATATTAGACTTTACAACTTTTTTCTTATGAATATCTTTACTGGTTTTAAGGATGCACTTGTGTTTATTTTTCCCACTTTGTTGACAATTCTGTGCCATTATAAGAGTATTATCAATGTGAGAAAGGAAATGTTGGTGTGTTTTTTGATGTGTATGTAGTGCATATTTCATATTTAGGTGATTTGGGATTCTATGGGCCCTAGTAGGAAGGGGATAGAAGATCTAGAAATGCAAATTAAGTTTTTAAGGAACAAGAATTTGTTTTACTGCAGAATATTTATTTTATAAAAGCATTTTCTTGTCCGGATCATATATATGGGACTTTTTGCACCATTTTGATGCAATGCACCATGCATAACTTTCTTGATCGGGGATGGTATTCAGAAGCTTGTTTGCATGAAAGGCATGTTGGTATCTCGTTTTTATTATTTTTTCGAAACACTTTAAGATTGTTTTCGTTTCATATGTGCAGGATGTATGGCAGCTTTGGATGCAGAACATTACCTTCAAGAAATTGGTGCTCAAGTGGGTAAGAGTGATTAAGTATTGAAGCTTATTGAAAGTAGCTCTCACTGAGTGTTACCTACATTTCAAAATATGGAAAGGATGGACCAAGGGGCATTTTTATTTTAATATTCATGTTTTAATATTCATGTTTATTTGGACTGTAACAGTTGAAAAAAGAATTGTTATTTATCCATAAGTTTACGTTACTGACTGTTGCTGGAAATTGTAGTTGTCTTCTTTTGAANGAATGTTATGTTGCGGTCCGTGGGTATATAGTTAGCTAGTGTCAACTGAGTAGGGCATGGTGCTCCCTGCATGGTAGCTAGCAGCTGGACTGGTATTATCTCAAATAAGTGGCAGCCAGCTTACTTTCACAACCAATGGAGATAAACTACAACTCTCTCTCTCTCTCTCTCTCTGAGACTCTCTCTCTGTCTCTCTCTCTAACTAGCACTTGAATGGTACTCCCAAGCCCTTCTCCATATCCATTACATTTCTATTGTGTTGCTTTAAACTTGTGACTTCATATTCATTTTCCCAAATGGGGAATGAATCTCAGCTAATTCCTCCCTTCTTTGCACTGATCTTATCCCCAAAATACTTACCTCAATAAAGAGAAGTGGTTGGGAATGATGAGGGGAAGCTGGAGTGCTTGCAGGGCAGAAGGGTAATGAAAGGGGGTAAATTAAGTATAATAGGGCTGTTGTAATCCAAAAATGATGACTCACATCCCATTTACAAGTATAGTATTTGGCTATGTCAACTATGCTACATATCCTTACCTGCTTGTCGGGACATGTCAATGAGGTTGCAAGCAACTAACTGCTTCATCTCAATCTCATGCCTTCATGTAGAACCTGGTAGGATTGAATACTTCTTATGATTTTGTTAATTGGTACAAATAATTTAAGTCCATATTGCAACTTTCTCGGTTTGTCCTTGTTTTTATTCCAGAATCTGAGCTACTTATGTCTGAGCAGGATTCAGTTGGCTGAGAGTCTGATGCATATTATGCGTATACATCCATGTTATTGGGATAGGTTTTCCTTCATTCCTCCGTAGAAACATTTTTCAAGTGGGATGTCCATAAATTCTGTGTGTTGTGAAATGTTATGCGCTTGTGTACATGCAAACGTAGTTTGGCTTTGGTATACAAAACCCACTATTGCAATCGATTTGAGTTTCGAATGTTTTGAGTTTCCTTTATTTATACGAGGTATTACAAGGATGCTCGAGTAATTATTCAATTTTCCAATTCATGTGTGGGCTACCTATTGATACCACCACACATGTTCATACTGGATCAGTGAATCACAGGCTTAGGCCTGTTCACTGGCGAGTTAAAATTTGATCATGTTTCTAGTTTCCTTGGACTATTTTTCTATGGGAAAAAAAAAAAGAGAAAAAAATACAAAAACTATTTAGAAACAAATCTGTGGTTCCTGAAACGAACGTCAATACGATAGATTGGTCTCTATTCAAGTGAACAGAGTTCATGATTGGACGGTTTGGATACGGAAGTTGAATCGAGGGCTCATAATATATATATATATATATATATATATAGGGATTGGTTCCAATGCATCCCATTATTTAAAGTGAGGACGTGAGACTCATTCCTAGCCACAAGATTTAGATCTTGATTTAAATAATAATTTTTTATTTTTATTATTTAATTCTTTATTTTTAATTATTTAAATATTATCATGACCATTGACCGTTGACTTCCGGCGTTGACCGTTGACTTCCGGCGAAAATCGTTGACTTCCGGCGTTGACTTCCGACGTTGACCGTTGACCATTTGTCTTTTGTTATGTTATTTCTTTCTTGCTAGGTTAGTTGTTTGTTGTTGCTAGGTTAGTTATTTGTAGCTGCTATGTTAGTTGAGTTTTGTTGCTAGGTTATTTTTTTCTTGCTGCTAGGTTAGTTGTCTTTTGTTGCTAGGTTAGTTCTTTCTTGCTGCTAGGTTAGTTGTCTGATGCTGCTAGGTTAGTTGTCTTTTGTTGCTAGGTTATTTCTTTCTTGCTGCTAGGTTAGTTGTCTTTTGTTGCTAGGTTAGTTATCTGTAGCTGCTAGGTTAGTTGTGTTTTGTTGCTAGGTTAGTTGTCTTTTGTTGCTAGGTTAGTTCTTTCTTGCTGCTAGGTTAGTTGTCTGATGCTGCTAGGTTTTTTTTTTTTTTTTTAAACAAACAACGCCCCGGAAGGGCGGGGGATTGGGCTGGATCCCCAACCTGTGCATAGATCAGGGCCCCAAAAACGGGAGCCCAATAATGTCAACGAACCAGATACAAAGGTCTACATAGTCTGAGAATCAAAACCAAAACCAAAAGAAAAACAAGAAAGAAAAAACCGAAAAACGAAAAAGAAACAAAAAACTACAATATAAAGTCGATCTTCGGGCTAACAGATGCCCGAGATAAATGTCTATACTAATGAAAATAGAAATCCTATACTAGTGAAAGCGGAACGCTGGGTATCCAAGCTGGTCCATCCGTACAAGAGTGCGAAGGCGGAGTGGAGCAGTGTCTGTCTGGAATGTATGTGTGCCTGGTATGGTGGCGCCAAGGCTGGCCAGGTAATCAGCCGGTCTGTTCCCCTCACGGAAGATGTGCGTGATCCTGTGATGGACTGACTGAAGTAGATCTCTAATGCGCAGAAGCGGGTGCTGAATCTGCCACGAGCCCTGATGGCCCGAAGTCAGGAGGGTGGCGACAGCCGCAGCATCCAGCTCGATCCATATATGACTAGAGATGTGGGCAGCTATCTGAAGGCCAATCTGTAGTGCCTGAATCTCTGCGTCGTAGCTCGAGGAGGCCTGAATGGACGCGTGAAAGGCGGTGATGAGGGCGCCGCTATGGTCCCGAATCAAGCCTCCTCCTCCGGCAACTCCAGTGTGGCGATCGAAGGAGCCATCAGTGTTCAGCTTGACCCACGGAGAGTCAGGTCGAAGCCAAACAACAGCTCTGGCCCGAGGAGTCCGAACAGGCGGTGGTGGGGCCACCATGTAGCGATGCGGTGGCGTGCAGCCTGTCCAGTCTCGGGCCGTGAGCCTGCCCAATGAGATGAGGAGTGAAATGTGTCTCTCAACCTGCAAAACAATGTGAGAAAACATAAAAGTAATATCCCTATGCTTCGCACTATTCCTTTCTGTCCAGGTGAACCAAAGGATCAGACAAGGAATGAGGAAGCCCACGTGTCTAAGGTGTGTGCTCTGTGAGAAAAAACTCAGGAGCTCAAAAAAACTGTATGTGGTGGGTAGGGATATATGAGTCCAAGTGGCAAAATGCTCCCACACTCTCCTCACAATCTCACTCTCTAGAAAAAGGTGGGTAAAGGTCTCAGTCTCATGGCGTCCAGTCTCAGAACAACACACACACCGAGAGGGGAAGGAGATCCCCCTCGCGTGTAGCACAGTATCGACGGGTATCCGGCGCAAGAGAAGGCGCCAAAGGAATACCGAAATAGTAGGCGTAAAAAGGTCACTCCAGATAGCCCCGAAGAGGAGATTAGGCCGATCCCTCAGCCTTATCTGCTCCCAAGCCGAGGTAGTAGAAAACACACCTGATGATGTAAGTCTCCACCTCATGCTATCTGAACCGTCCCCCGAGATAGGGATCTGCTGGATCTGATCTAATAACTGCTCGCTAAAACCCGCACCAGCCCCCAACTCCCTATCAAGCTTCCCCCTATCCCACGACCCGTCCGTCCAGAGGTCGCTCACGAGCAGGTAGGGGGAATGCGACACCTGCCTATCCCTAGACAACGGCCTATCACCTACCCACCACTCATCCCAAACACTGACATCGCCCCCGCCCAAAACCCAAAAGATGTGATCCTGGGCTCGCCTCCCGACCCTAGTGAGGCGCCGCCACTGTCTGCTATCATGATCAACAGCCGTGACCCAACAAGGGTGGTTGGCACGTCTAGGGCAGTACTTGCCGCGAAGGTACTGAGCCCAAAGCGACTTTCCTTCCCTGAAGCGCCACCACAGCTTGTATGAGAAAGCTGTAACAATGTCCCTAAGGCGGCGGATGCCAAGGCCACCCTCTGGGAGGGGGCGGCAGATAGAGTCCCAACTCACCCAGTGAGTACGTCTCCCCCTCCCAGACCCGTCCTCATAACCCCAGAAATAACGAGCCATAATCTGGTCAAGCTCGTCAAGAGTAGACCTAGGGGGGTCGAGGACCATAAGCAAGTGAATCGGAAGAGAGCTAAGAGTGCTCTTGATCAGCGCTAGCCGACCACCGAAAGAAAGATATCTATGCGACCAACCAGAGATCCTATCGATCATCCTCTGTCTGACGCCCGCAAAGAGCGCTCTCGTGAGGTTGCCCTTATATAAAGGGACCCCGAGGTAAGTAATGGGAAGGTCGCCACGCGCAAAGCCAGTAATGTCGTGGACCCGCTGAGCCCATCTGTCCACTGTGGCAGATGAAAGGATGAAGGTGCTCTTCTGCACGCTGACCAGCTGACCGGTGACCGAGCCATAGTGCTCCAAAAGGCGCATGAGCTCGACCAGTCCATCATCATCCGCCCGGGTGAAGATAATGATGTCATCCGCGTAAGAAAGGTGAGAGACGGTAGGACCGTAGCCACGGGTGCTATAGGTCATGTGGGGAGAGTCGCGGGTGAAGCCGTCAAGGCAGCGAGAGAGGTAGTCCGCCGCAAGGACGAAAAGGGAAGGGGAAAGAGGGTCGCCCTGCCTAAGGCCTCTAGAAGAGGGAAAGAAATCGGTGGGGCTGCCATTAATCAGGACCGAGAACGTGCAATGCTCGACACACGCCTCCACAAAGCTGATCCAACGCTCAGGGAATCTCATCCTAGCCAACGCCTCCCTAAGAAACGGCCACTCAACCCTATCATACGCCTTAGCCATATCCAGCTTCAGCGCGATATTCGGAGCCCGCTTCCAGTCCGCTCGGAAGATGTCGTGGATCATCTCCTGGGCCAGAAGGATGTTATCACTAATGACCCGATCCTTGACGAATCCACTCTGGTTCGGAGAGATGAGAGAGGGGAGAAGAGGGGAAAGACGGCCGTTAAGAATCTTCGAAATGAGCTTGTTGGTCACGTTACACAGGCTGATGGGCCTGTAATCGGACCAAGAGCTCGGATTGGGTCGTTTGGGGATCAAGACGACAGAGGTAGACGTGAAGGAATCCAGCATCCGGTGGCCGGAGAAAAAATCCAACATCGCCTCCTGGACGTCAGTCTCGACAATATCCCAACAGACCTGATAGAAGAG